CCGCTACATCGAGTGTGTCGTACAAGAATCCGTTCGAACGAGAAAGAGAGAGCAATTTAAGTCGCTTTGTCGATAAATAACAGGCGCAATATTACGTGCAACACATTGACGATACTACAAACTCGGACAAGTACCGTACGCTCAAATATACATATGTCTTAACGAGGCAGCACGAACACCTGTTGTTTAGACAATTACTTCGTGCGACGGACATTCACGAGTCGTTGACACATTAACGCGAGAACAGAACGTAACTTATATTTTATCAGCCATGCCCAGAGCTGAATTCCATGGAGGAGACTGCACAAATGACAAAGAATAATACCGAAAAGACTGTAAGAAGATTTCCCTTCCATGGAATTGGATCGCTTCGTAAACGATGACAATGTTACCGAATCCCTTAGTGAATGCAAGGATAACTTCTTTCGTACTATGGCCGTAACATCCTTTTCCAGTGCTTCTGATGCAGAACAAGACATTTAAAGTAACGGTTCAGGTTTTTATCAGCGATAAACACCCAATTGATATCGACGTTTAACGAAGGAAGCTACTTGTTTTACCGAAGTATCATAAGAGTGCATGGACAATGAACCAATTATTGTCTCGTCTGCGTATAATAATGAATAAATATGGAAATAGCAGGAAGACGTCTCATTCAACTTTATTCCGTAATACGACCAATTTCCTTGATTGTAGTTTTTCTAACGATGGCCGTGGCAGAGAGAGAAATACTCCTCTCTTTTCACCACGGCCATCATTAAAAATACTACAGTCGAGAAGATTGCTCGTAGTACCAAACAAAGTTGGACGAAGAGTCGTCCTATTGTTCGCATATTTCAAATGTTTTCTTTGCGTGTTGGCATAATAGAAGTTTATGTACGTATAACGTAAATTACGCGAGCCAATTAATTCTTGTTCGAAAAACTATCAAACTACTTGGGCAGAAATTCAGCCTTTCCGTTTACGCGATGTTGGAAAAAGATTATCGACTCCCGTCCTAAATCGTCGTCACATAGTTCCGATTGGTGCAAAATGTGCACATAATTGGGACGTTCTCGTAATTACGCGCGTCAAGAATCCCAAGAACTTTCTCAAACGCCCATAAGAATCCCGCGACGCGTGTGAATCATCGTGAACACGAATCCTCGCGGCACGGGTAAATAACTTCGACTACGTTCTACCCAAGAATTTGCATATCAAAGCTGTTACGTTGTAACGAAACGTGTTACGATGCGCGTTCGATAATTCGGTACGGCCGGAATGCAGTAAAATTCCATCTGGATCGTTCTTCGAATCGCGTGACACTGGAGATCGCTTTCGCGTCTGGTCTTTTATTTTTCAACGGCCATCGTCCCGACGATGCTTCCAATACCGTACCGAACCATCCACCGTCGAGCAATTTGAAAGCGGAACGCTTCACAATTTCAAATAGGGGTTACTCGAATCGCGCAATAGAAACTCGACTGCCCTTGCTTCCTGTACGCCACAAAGAAGGGAAACTTGCATGGTGCCTTCTTAATTTACGCGGAAACGATCAAAGGAATGTTTACTGGCTCCGAGAACCCGTCTCTCGTAAACGCTCGCCAAAGCACACGCAAATTAGTCGCGGTATAGCGATTGCTGTATTCTACTCACAACCTTACGTTTTAACGAAACGTCAACCGCTTTTTGGAACGATCGATCATGATAATCGTGGCTACAGCCAGAAAGGTGGCTTGTTTCTACGGGAAAATATAAAATATGTTTCGGGATAGGTGTGCGATTAAGTACGATTCGTCTGACGCGTCTGTCCATTACTCGCTCTCTCTACTTGCGCCGATGTACCCTCGTATGACGAAATACACGATATTGTACTTGAATATTCAAATTTGCTTTTAATGCCAGCCATTGAACAGCGATGGAACAAAGTATTGAACGAAAGTTAATATTTGTTCCGAAGAATTGAAAAATTCTATGACTTTCCAACGAACCGCTATTGAAACGTAAAGGATAACACAGCGCGGAAAAATTTTGTTAAATGGGTTTTCGCATTTATAAAATTCGCCCATCCCTGGACCCAGGACATCCTACGATCGACGCGAGTTTTCCACGGTCAGATAGAAGCATCGTGTCTAAAATACAGCCACTTTTCATTCGCGTTGCCGCGATCTACGAAAGCGAAAGCATCTCGTTCGTGCAGCGAACAAATGCGAACACTTTCAATGAAACCGACTGTAAATTGAGGCGACGCGGCGGCAACGTTCCGCGCGGTTACTGCATTCTACGGCATAATACTTGAAGAAAGTTCTCCGCCGACAAAACCGCGACTCCCTCGCGGTCGTCCAGACCAAGAGGGATAGCAAGAACCGAAGAAATCTGGAGAGCAACCCCAAGACGCGTCCTGGCTGCTTTATTAGATTCGCTTGGATTTCATTTCGTGACGGTTAAGCGAACGAGATTTTCGCGGCCGGTGGCCAACTGCCAACGGATTGAATCTCTTAAAATTACCAGACCTCGTAAACCCAGTTAGTAACCGGCTCCCGAACGGCTCACCCCAGCCGGAGGATAGCTTTGTATTGCAAACTTACATAACCATTTCAGAAAGGTCGTGCCGCTAAAGACGTTACGAAATTCGTCGAATTAACTCGACAATGGTGTTCCGTTGAAGACCGTAACAGCCTAATTTGGTTAAGAAGAGACAATGAACTGATATATTTTTGAATGTTTCTTGAATCGAAGGAAAGTTTCCCGAATCGATAAGCATCCGACGAAAGCCATCGATTCGTCAAAGTAGCTCGTAGGATGACTTAATTACAGAATCGTTCGAAGTCGAACGGGCATAAATGAAGATAAAAATTATAATGAGAATTATCACTCGTGTTTTCACGTGCGACGGGTTTATCGTTCCAGCGATCGTACGCTCGTCGTTACGGCGATATAACTTTCGCCGCGTCAGCCTCAATTAAAACACGAAGCGGAATACGGTCGAATTAATGACTGCTAATTATTGTATCCACCTCGAAATATTTCATCGCTATGATTTAATAACCTCATTACAGCGGGGTTAATAAAGGAAAAAGGACAAAATGATGGGAAAAGTGCGGTTCGACTGCCAACGTTCTTCGAAGCTTGATGCTGTATCGCGTTCGTAGTTCTTTCTAAAGACATTTGCTGGGCAGTGTAACTGCGAGAATGTCATTGAACTGTTTTAACGTCGCGCTTGCTCGGATGTCCCTCGTTTGTGCTACAATCACCCGCCGCGCCGGCAAGAAAATCGAATTATCACCGAGCCACAGAAGAGAACCATCTCTCCATCGAGCGCCAGTTACAGCGATGCGCTCTAACTGCCTCGACGCGCCAAGATTTACGAACTTCGGTCGTCGTCGTTTGAACTGCTTAAATATAACTTTCCTCGAAGCAGTTCGTCGAAGAAACGCGACTGTACAGAATTGTATCGGAAGAAACTTCGTGTTGCCGGTTGGAGGTAACGAAGACGATCGCTTGCAAACGATAACGCAAAAAATTCCACGAAAGAACGAGCGAATATTCTATAATAGGTCTATAATTTAGGGCAGGGATATAAGGCACCCTTTCCGTTTACGAGTTAACGTTGGAGCTTAGAAAAAATTAGTCGCTTGTTTAGCAGACATTCTAGGTCACGATGGACCTGAACTGCAGAACTAGCGACGAAAAATAAATCTTGGAAAGGTTGTCATGTTTGAAAAACTCTACAGTACGATAGATAAGTCCGAAAGTAAACTGGACGAGAATCTGAAGGAGGATATTACTGTGAACTTTAAATCCCTTGAAAAGGAATTTCAGAGATACTTCCCTGAACTTACAGAAAAATAAGCTACACTGGTACGAAACTTATTCTCTGGTTCCCTGAATCTAATCAACATTCCCGATGAAGTACAAGATGTATTCATTTACTTAGTATCTTTTCGACTCTTCTTCGTATCAAACCAAAAGTAAGAAACTGAAATATATCTTAAGTTTCGAATATAACAAATAGAAATGCTCTTTCTCGGAATAATTATTATTAGAGAATTCTGAGCACAGTTCAAAATTTCACGTAATGGATTTAAAGGTGCGGTCTACTCGATTACGTTATTCGTGACGCATACACGCGCGAGTTATCGAAAATCGGCCAATTTATGATGCCGTTTCCGCGCCTCGCGTTGAACGAATTATAAAATTTGTAATTCGGGTCCGCGGATCGCACGTTCATTAATTGGAAACGTCAGCGTGCACGATAAAATTGAACACCGGCACAAGTAATCAGACCTTTCTACGTTGCTCGTGAAACTTGAATTTTTGAAAAGCCAATAAGCCCGCTGCGTAAACTACAAATAGCGCTCGGTAATTGACGTAACATTGTGCACTTTTGGGAAAAGAAGACCTGCATAATCGAAAAATCTCTGAAAGCGTCCTTGTATCTTTTATCTCCCGTCGACGATAAATTTCACCGAAAAACGGTAGCACGCTTCAGCCGGTAGTTCATTTGCAGAGAAAAAATACACCGGACGCGTGCAAATATTCGAATTTGCATTTAGATCAGTTTTTCGGCATTGAGAAATTGAATTAAGGATTGGAGATGCATATGTATGTGAAAATGTTTATGAAATCAGCAGCATGCAATTAACTAGTTTATATAAAAAAAGAGGGAAAACGGAAAAAAGAAATAAATAGAACGGAAACGTTTAGAAACACGCAGTAACCGTTTAATTTTTTACTGAATAGGACAACAATAAATTAGTAATCTACGATTAAACGATAATTAACTTTTTTGAGTGAATACTCAAACTGAAAATGACCAAGATAAATCAGTTCCTCCAAGCATCGTAATAATAAATAGCTCGACCATTTATATATTTAATTTGGACTATTCGTTTTATAATAAAATACAATCTGTAAATGTTATGATTTATTGTTCACCAGTAAAGTATACATTGAATTACATGTTCATAATATGTATAACTTAATATGTAGACATAAATATCATGAAAAATGAATGTATTCGTAAGTTTTCTTATTTTAATAATCTTTTGTTGGCTGAAAATTTGTGGAAAACATGTATTAATCGATTACAATATTCTTATTCTACAATGTGTATGCTGGAAATTTAGCTGAAAGTGGATTTAGCATGTCAATCAAAAAGTAAATGGTACCAGCAAGACCTAAAATAATACACATTTGTGTTATTAATTCAAAGGAAATATTTATGATAAATAAGGCATACAATACTCTATAATAGGCTACCTTCAAATAATGAAAATGGCCTATCAGGAGATCTAGTTTGATGTGTGCCATAATCTATGCACCAAGCAGCAAACTGACAAGCTCTGTACAAGTACTTCACATCCTGAAAAGGGGGTTCAATGTTCTATTAGTATTTACATCAATTTTATTGTGTACAAATGTAATTTAACCTTTGTTTGCTGAAAGAGGCATAAGAATGTATAAGCATTCCCAGCTACTCCATGACATATTCCATATCCCTTTTTAAGCAACCCTCTTGACCAAATAACTTCCCCACATTTTATAGCAGTCTCCAGATATTGAGGATCTTGATACACCTGTTCAGACATATAATTAATAGCACTCAAGGAACCAAGTGCTATTAACAACTGTACAAATAAAACAATGATAACCTCGTAAGCTAAACAGAATAGCATAGACATTCCAGGTGCTCCATGGCACCAATGTATTAATTTGTCTGAACGATTTCCAACAGAAGATGGAAAATTCCCAGAGTAATATTGAAGACTTTTAAGATATTGCAATGCTGGTTTGATATCCTCATTCAATTGAGCTTGTGTCAAGTATTGTCGTGCCTTAAAATTCGGGTGTTCAAGCATTTTTTTAAATTATTTTGCAATATCATTGCAAATATATGTTTTTCATGATCTAGTTGATAAATTTATCATACTTGCAATAATATATAAAGAATTCCAGCCAATCCGTGTGCACCACCAATATATTCTGTATTATGCCAAGCATACATTAAAGGTGATTTGCATTGTCTTGTTGCAGAATATATTTTGCCAGATTGAATTATAAAATGAATGACCTGACATAATATATTTTTAATGACCATGATTGATTCTACATTGAAACAGTTTTATCTTCATTTAATGTTTAATTTCAATTATTATATGATGTACCTCTTTAATGAGTTCATCTTCTATAGGTGGTGGAGATATATTTGAATTTAAAAACAGAAGGGCAAATAGATATCCAGCCAAGCCATAAAGCAATTCATCAGGCAGGTTTGAGTGGTTGACCAAAACACGACCACGCAATGACTTTAATCTAGAATACAATATATAAATCGTGTACATAAATATTATGTACTTGTATATAATTATTATCAAATGGTAATGAAATATATACAAATACATAGATATATAAGTACTTTGATATCATATTCTGTGATTCCTCTTTATTCCCTTGCGAATGAAGTACAACTGCACTTAGAGCTAATGGACCCACAATGCCAGTTAGGAATGTAATTTCTTTTTTACTTGTGAATTTTTGGACACAGATACTTAATAATTCTGTAGCTTTCTGTGCAAAAAGATTTATGCCTAATAAATAACTGTCTTTTTATTGATGCATGAGTATTTTAAGATACCTACATCAATATAAACAGGTTTATTAAGACATTTTCCATATTGGTAAAACATGTATGCAATTCCAGCCGAACCTGTATATACAGAGTAATCATCGTCGTATGTCCAATAATCTTTTTGTTTTTCCAACTGGTCTAACAATCTTTCTACATGTTTGTATATTGTTCCCTTGTATTTTTCAGTAATCTGACAAATACAAACCTCTTTAGTTTTACATATCAACAGACATAAAGATATGTATATTATACCTGCTTTGTATTAGCATCTACTAGGTAACTGGAAGTAGGATCAGAAGAACCTTCAAATGATTCATCATAATCTTTAAATGAATTCGTATAAAACCTAGTATCGTCCATTTTGGTACAAAATAAACGTTTAATTTGTTCAATACTGTTTATATATTCTGTAAGACAAAATTTCTCTTTGTTGATTTTACATCTGAAGTGTATCTAAAATTATACACATGTCACAGACGTAATACACATGTACACACATATATTCACACACATGCACACACACATAAAGATGATAAAATCACAGATCTGTGAACCAAAGATTATAGTAATCATGAAAAATTAAATCGCATTAAATTACCAGCTTAGCTAGCAAAAGGATCAATTAATATTTTTGCCTATTAGATGTTTATAGTTTTTGCAATAGATTTAAAATAAAATTCTTTGACAGAATAAAGTAAAAGACCCAATTACTGTCTTTTTAATCAAAAATCAAAATCATGTACTAATGAAGTTTGATAATACTTATATTATTTAAAAAAAATCATATTTTATTATAACTTGCCTACTGCAATAATAGTCTTTTCTTTAATATCTTCTTCTTCTTTTCACTAATAAGAAAGTTGTCGTTTTCACTCTTTTAATCAACTTGAAATTTTTTGTCACATTAATTGCACTTATAATTTTATGTTAGATTTGTTGTTAAGGTAACGGTAAATGGATCCTTTACCCTATACACTTTGCAATTATAATGAGATTATTCTTTTAGCAACTTAATATGTTGAAAAACTAATCCTTTCACATATCATTCTAAAAATGAATTCTGACTAACAACAAACCTGACTTTTGTACAATATTAAAGACGCACGTTTTAACATAAAATGAAGCATCGCAATTTTAACGTTGTAGTTTATCAAGAAGGTGGCGACCTCCAACAACTGATTTTGTTTTTTAGCTCTCTGGTAATTCTTTGTACTCCATCAAGGAGGTGGCGACCTCCTTGATGAATTACAAAGAACTAACAGAGGGCTAAAGAGCAAAATCAGTTGTTTCTCGCAAGTTACCTATCAATTAAATGAATTTTAAATTAAAGAAATGAAAACAATCCTTTACAGCATTAATCTTCAATTATAGCATTACTGTATATGCTAGAGATAATATATTATTGAACAAGTAAAGAATAAAAAACTGTTTATCTACTAGTTATTCGAACGAAACGAAATTGTTAAATATAAAAATGTAAGGTTCAATATTTCTGTTTCAATGCTTACGGTATTTGATCCATAATTTCGTCCGAAGCAAGCAAAATCAATTGACCGGGTTTTCAATTTCGTCAGTCACGTTATTCATTCTGTATACCCGACGCCACGGTGTAATTTCATCACTTCGATTCTCTCGTACGCATTGAGTACACGACTTTAGAGTAAATCGAGAACCCTCGAGAAGATTCAGAGACAGAGAAAACGAGAAGAGGAGAGAGGTTCGCACACCTGTCTGAATCTCGAGTAACGAGCCAAGAGAAACATAAGGCGACCCCACGAATTCGTGCTGCTCCTTTGAGCTCCCTTTTTTAACCCACCGCGATGCGCGCAGAGCCTGGATAACGCAGGAAACCGGTTCCGTAGTATTTATGCACCGTGTGTGTACGCGACTTGCACCTACGAATGCATCAGATGCACCCAGCCCTTTCGCCTGCTTTACCCACCGACACTTGCATGCGCGAGACTTCTTTCGTACGTCCAACAGTTTTTTTTTCTCCCCTTTTAACGTGCCAACACTCGCTATGCAGACGAGACACATTAAGCGCATTTTCCTGACGTTGCTTGCGAACGGAACGTCAAAAGTTTTCGCAACTCGTTCACAATGAAATCTTTCGTAAACGTTTACAAATAAAAAAATGTCACCTCATTAATCGATTCCCTGCTCCTATAAAATAAGTTTAACCTCCACGTTTCTGAATATTTTCTTTGAGTAAACAAAATATTCTTCGTGATATTTAAGTAATTTATACTTATATTTCGATGTTACTTTTGTTTGTCAACTGAGAAAAAAAACATTTATTCGAACAACAATGAACAAGTTCGAACTTGTTTCCGCGGACCAACGGTCGGTCCGTGGAACTCCACATTCTGAAACTCTTCTAGTTCGTTAAGCATGCAAACGAAGAGGAAAAACTTTTCAAACTTCCAAGCTCTAAAGCAAGGCGACGACTAATTATTCCGATGCATTTCGAATAGTCCCTCGGATAAGGATAATCCAATTACCAGGGTCGTCTGCGACTAAAGGTCCATCGTATTTTTATTGTAATTTCACTTATCTCGTTTAGACCTCTATATGAGATTATGTAAATAATAAAAGTTACACTTTCTTAAAACTTTTCAAAGAATCTTAAAAACTTTATTACAAAGTATACGGTCACAAACTGTCTCGTTCAATTAATATAGATCGATGTATTTAATGCAGAAAAATGTGGATAACTTAAATATCTTTTTCTATATTACTCACATAATATGTTTTCTGCAAAAGCTGCAACTTGGAATACCAGAACCACATGTCGAGTCATTGGGTACGGAATGTAATCATCCTTAACCCCTTCCAGTACTTTAACGAGTCTGACTCGTGATGAAGATCTTGGCCCAAACAAATCACGATCGTGATTGAGTTTTAGTTCCTATCAGTACGCTACAAGAGTTGGTCACGATTCTTATAATCTCTGTTACAAAGCAGTTTAGCATCAGTCTGGTCTGTTTACCGCGCGTTGACGCCTACCGTTTGGGCCCGGATTTCGTCGAACTTAATGCCACCGGAAGGGGTTAATACCTCACACGAGAAACTAGAAACTAATCACACACACCACGTACATGTAACAACGTTGATCATATTAATAGTATAAAAAAATAAATCACGTTATTTCAATAAAATTTCTTTTAATACTTCAGTTCTTTAATAGACAAAATTAAATTGTACAATTAGTACATTACTAACTGGCGCCACTGTCGTGTGACTTTTCCGTTTGTGACCGATAAAATACTGTACTAAAAAATTAATATTTATTTATCTGTAATTAAGTATTTTGTGTTACGGAAAATAATTTGGAAAAATAATAATATTTATAATAAGATAAAGAAAACAAAAGAAGAAAATTGAGACAAACAAGACTACCTACGATACGTAAGCGAATGATGTCTCCGATCGTTGGAGAGCAGCTACGAAAGATATATTTATACATCTTTGGCATATAATGGGTTAGTAGATTTTTCTAAGATAAATTGAACAGGCTTCTTTAAAGAATTACGCAATGTTTTTGTGTAATTATTTTATTAAAGACAATCTTCAAATATATTTGTTTTACAATTGAAGAAACTAATAAAGTAACTAAATATAGAAAAATAAATATTTTTACAATATATATTTGTTTCTGTAAAACTAGGGACACGGATTGAAAAATCTAAATGTTAAACATTATGCCTCTTGTTACAGAAAACACTCACCTTTTTGAACATTATGTGCATAACAAATTGAATTGTTATTCACTAATTTATTTAGGAATTATTTACATTCACAAATGCTTCTCTGGATATATATGAAGTTACTATAGTGATTCAATATGAGCAAATCGAGATTCTGCCTCAGATTCAACAAAATCTGGCAATGTAAATGTATCTTCTGAGGATGATGAATCAGATTGCTCTTTAAAAGATAAATCATTATAACATTAATTCTGTACAATCCTTTATTACTAAAACAAAAAAAGAAAGAAAAACAACTTACGATCAGTGTCAGTTTTATGTTCTTTCTCTTTCTCTTGATTGAAATCTTTTTTTTCTTCTTCTATTTCATCAGTCTTCTTTTCTTCATAATTGAAACCATCATCTCTATTTTCCTCGTATGTGGTAAAGTGGAGATAAGAAAAAATGCACACAAGGGCTATGAAAAACAAATTTGTACCAATACCGACAATGGCAGACAAAATCGGCCAGTGAAACATTAGATAACGTACACCCGATAAATGCGCATTTATCATAATATTTGCAGAGTAAAATTCAATGTGTCTTGATTGTATTTCAATATAAACGATTGTAACTGGATGACTTTGATCCTCTTCAAAATTACCAAATAGTTCTAAAACTACATTTTGCTTTTCTTCTGTGGTACCAAAAATCATCATAGGTGAAAATGTGAATGTTGTGAGTGCATGTAATAATCTACTGCGATAATGCAGCATGGCAGATCTACATGCATGTTTCACCAAGAAACCATCTCTACTGTGCAATTGTGCACAAACCATAAACATACCTATTTAAAGATTTTAGTAATTATATGTTTGTATTTTCTTTAAGAGAGATATAATGACAAATGTTACCAAGTTCTTTATTAGCTGGAGATTCGGGCATTTCTAAATGCAAGTTAACTTTATAAGGTTGCCCAACCATTAGAAGTTGTTGCTTATTTGTTAGCTGTACATAAGCCGATGGAAAGCTACAAATTCCTTTTCGTTCATTGCAGGACCTATAAGTTAAAAAGAAGCAATATAGCCAAGTTTTACACATGCTTCATGCATTAAGATATAACGTAAAAAAATAAAAAAATAATATGATATATGATGTGACAAATCATTCTATTTAATTAACGTACTAGTGAGAAGTGAAGCTCACTTGAATTGCAAATGCACTGGCCGTATATATGACATACTCGGCATGTAGACATAATAAAATACCGTATAGAGAAACACGGATAACCAAACAATGAAGACCCCGCTAATAATGATAAGTCCGCCACTTAAAATTACATCTTTGGCAGACTGTACACTTCTTGTTGTTTTTCTCTGAACATTGAACCATTTCTTATTGACTAATTCCAATAACCTCGAAGTTAACATTGCAAACAGAATTTAATTCACTCGTGGCAACAAGTTAATCCAAACCAAACACCTCGCAATTTTAATTGCGCTGTTAGAAATTGCTACATAAGATAAGATAAATTATTTATCGATGTATTAAGTCTCATTTTAAATTATTCGGCTCCAACAAAATATAGGTTAAGTTCATTTCAATTAGTAGTTAATGGGATAATAGCGGAAATGTTACACGAAGAGCGCATGTGAGATACGAGTACTTTTATTATCTTTGAAAAAAATCTATTTCAGTCTCCTTTTTATGGATCTATTTAAAAAATTAATGAAAACCATATTTATATGAACTAAAAATAATTATAAAAACCATTTATGCTTATATTAAGTGTATTCTTTTATTTGGAAGGTGGATATGAAATTAAAAACATTTTATCTATGCTAATGTATGTACACAAGATAGTTCTTACATACACAGCTGTTCAATATCACACATGTAAGAATAATACATGTAATAACATGTAAGATACATTCCATAGGAAGTAGTAACACATTTTATGGCATATTTTACGAGTGTAAAATATTACCACTACTGATAATATATTTTAAGATTTAGTCAATCTGTACATTATAAGATACTTATTAATACTAGAAATATACACATAATATATTCTAAATTATTTTCCCTTTCTGTGCTCTAATCTTGGTCTGCCCTTTTTGGTTGTTGGTTTGTCTTTTCCTTTATTCAATAATGGATGTGTTTCTGCAAACAAAAATATTAACAGTGAAAGAAATAAATTAATCAATCATACTTGCACATGTAGAAAATCTTACCATCTACCGGTGCACCTTGTAAATGAATGTCGTGAGAACGATGTTTTTTCATAGGCGGTTCATGCGGTGTTGTTTGGTTATCTTCTGAATCTTCTACATCTGGGGATATTGGTAAAAATTGAAGTGAACCAATATCTTCCATTTCTTCGTCAGAGCTACAAAAAGCAGCAACTCTATCAATAGATGCAACATCTACTTCTATCTCTTCATCCTGAGCTTCTTCACCTTGAACAACAGATTTATCCTCATCGCTTAAATCAAATTCACTCTCTCTTTCTTCATACTCAACATTTTCGTCCAATTCTTTAAAGTCTGGTGCAAATGCAGACCAATTTTCAACTTGATTTTGTGCCCAAATAGAAACTACACCTGATGATATAGAAGCAATGATCGGTCTCACAGGATGCCACTATATTTAAATAAATTTTCATAATTGTTTGAAAAATCATTTAATCTCAATAAAATATAAAAAAATAATCACTTACAACAACATCAAGTAACAACTCTCCTTTAGTTCCATGTAAAATTTTTACTAAATTGCCAATACTTTTCTCCCATACGTATAAAGCATGCTGTCTCGCAGATCCAGCACATACATATTCTCCATCTCCAGAAAAACAACATTTTTTCCACATAGTTTTATTTACAAGATCTTGTAACTTTTGTATTGGTTCAGGTTCACCATCCTTTCCACAAGCTAGGACTTCAGTACTATCATATACACGTATTACTCTATCCGATGTATTTACTAAAAAACACGAGCCACGTCTAGCAAATTCAATACTTTTTACAGCTGTATTACTAGCAGTGCCTTGTGATATTTTATACGATGCCTTCACATTCAAAGATTCTGCATCAAGAACTAAAATTCGACCACGAGCATTTCCAGTATATACATAATCTCCACGACGATCAAAAGATGCAACAATGTTCAAATCACTCTAAAATAAAAGAATTTTAAAGTGTGTGTTAAAATATTAATTTGCCAAAGGCAAATGTCAGAAGCAAAGTAATATTTTCATACATCATCATCAAGAGGAATAACTCTATGTGTACCCTCTGCATCTACCATTACTGCTGCATGTCTCATCGGACATACTAAAAATTTGTTAAGATTTCTTGGATGAAATTGTACTTTTAATATAGGAGAAGGAAATCTATACTTTTGATCACATTCTCCTGATAGAACATCCCATATGCAAACATTGTTGTCTGTAGAGGCACTTAATAATTTATGTCCATTTCTAGACCAGCTATTTAAGATTAATGATGATACTATATAAGTGAAGTATATTTAATAATACAGTAGTGTCATCATTGAATTTTAAACTATTTACCTTAATGAACATACAGGATGTACATGTGCACTAATAATTTTGGCAACACCTCTAGTCAAAAAATCCCAAATAACAATTCTACCATCATTGCATCCAACAGCAAGTAGAGTTCCTCTTTTGTTAAATGTACAAGTTACTGCTAATGATATGCAATCTAATGTGCCATCGAATTCCTGATAATTATAGACACTATAATAGTTAGAAAGGCAAGAAATTAAAAATAATTCATTTTAAGTTCGTATCTTACCTCTGGATAATTTTGACCAAACGATTCTGTAAGAAAATTGAGAAAATGACCAAGATCGTAGTCCTCTCGTTATATTTTAAAATAAGCATTTTTTAAGACTCACCTAATAATTCCAAATTCATTTTCGCTTTACTTGTTGTATATACGTGACAGTCCCACGTTACTAACCTACAATCTGTCTGTTACTATTAAATCCCTAATAAAGAACCCTGATGGATCCCTACTCTATTGTCATTAGTTGGAAGTTTTGGATTAAATGTGATTCTTAGAGTTACTGTTCCTAAACACAGTATGCTTAACCATAGACAAAGTATACGGTAGATATTTCATCATAGAAGAACTGTTGTCATTTAAACTAAAGTATTTGGCCGTTAAGTTTGTCCTATACCTCGCTTATGACATGAATATTGAGTCAAAAAAAGAAAGGTATACCCTTTTTAACAATCTTTCAATTCTATTGAAAGCTGTCGAAAATGAACGAACAACCGTAGACCTTCAAAATGAATCGTCAGTTTATGGAACTGTAGAACACACGGATGCGTAAGTGACTTCGAGTGTTTTTATTATTGTTACTGATCTAGTGTTGTTTAGCGTTTTGTTTTATTGTTTTAGTTATATGAATATTGTAATGAGAGATTGCATCTTTACCGATCCTAGAGGGGATTCATATAATTACGATATGTTATTCGTCCAGGCAAGGAATATTCGCTTCGTTCACATACCGCCCAAAGTGAGTAATTTTAAAATACATGTTTTCTACTATAATTGTGTGTATAATTTCATTTATCATCTATTGCTGACATTATTTTTTCGCTATATTATAATTGTCTGATAACATTGACCTTGAATGTCGAACGCGGTTACATACGTGACAAATATTTAAATAGAGTTATTTCGTATTTGTTACGGTAAGTATGTTATACATCAATATTATCGAAGGATCGTATTTTGATATAAAATAATTAATTGTTATATACGGAGTAGTGTATAAAAAGAATAACAAATTGTAAACATCGCACGTACGTTGCCTAGGTATTTTCGAATTTACATGTTGCTTGTGCATCGCCGACGGTATGATAAAAATTTGTCATTTGATAAATAAATCTCTAAAATGCTGTGTACAAATAAAAACTACTTTAAATTTAAAAACTAGTGAGAAATCAAGAGAAATTACACATTATTTATCATGTTCTATAAATTTTAAACGCTATTGTTCAACAGTGTCAGTTACTTCATCAATGGAAATGAACATGGGCACTTTTAAATTTCTTGATTATGATTGTATTGGATTTGACTTTGACAATACACTTTTACGTTATAATGTGACAAACATGGTACATTTGGTCTATGGAACATTAGCTAACTATTTAACAACAGAAAAAGGATATAATGCAAAATATTTATTGAGATCATTGAATGACAAGGATTTAGATTTTATGCAAAAGGGATTGTTCTTAGATTTTGAAAAAGGAAATATACTTAGAATAAGTGCTGATGGCATAATTCGAAGAGCTTGCCATGGGACCAATTTATTAAGCATAGAAAAAATTAAAGAAATATATCCTAATCAAAAATGGGAGGCAGATGACTTTTGCAATGACATGTTCTCAACATGGAATGTTCCTCTAACAAAAATGCGAAGTGTATTAGACTACTTTGATATTTCCTTATCTCTTATTTTTGCAAGATTAATAGACACTCTTGATGAAGAACAAGAACAACCATTGAATGCGTACAATGTTTGGCCTGACATGTTAGATGGATTAATTGAAATGTTTGCTAAGGATCATTTTAAACTAGACAGAGGATGCTTCTTTCCTAGTCTAAAAAAGGATCCTGATAAATATTTACATAAATGCAGTACAGAAATTATATCTTGGATTAAAAAGTTAAAGAAACAACGTATTACTTTTCTTATTACTGGATCAACTGATGATTTTGTTGATTTAACTGCCACCTATGCTCTTGGAGATGATTGGAAATCTCTGTTCGATATTATTATTTGTGATGCAAAAAAGCCTGGCTTTTTTTCACATGAACGTCCATTTCTTGAGATATCAGACTGTCTTGAGGGTGCTATAGTAGAAAGTAAAGATTTAAAACAGGGTGGGATATATAACCAAGGTAATTGGAAAGGACTCATTGAATTCCTTGGATATATATCAAAAAGGAATAACCCTCGTTGTATATACTTTGGTGATCATCTTATACAAGATATTTATATACCAAGTGCATGTACAGAATGCGATACAGTAGCTATAATCGAGGAACAAATGTCAGAAGGAATGCTTCATCAAAGATTATCACATCCAGATGAAAAAATATTAAATTCAACATTTTGGGGTTCTTATTTCTGTTTAAAAGATTCTAAAATTAATGTGGACTCATATTGGGGTTATGTTATAAAAAAGTATGCTAAACTTTGCATACCAGAAATAGATCTAATAGCTCGACAGCCATTAGAAGAATCTTATTTATGTTTTAGTAAAACTGGAAAGAAATATGTTGGATATTATCCAGCTATACCACTCAGTATATCAACGTTTTAAATTCTTAAATGTGTTATTTTTGTAGCATTCATTTATGAATAATTATTTTACTTTTTAATTATTATATTTTTATAATATGACACAATTATTATTAATTACGACTTAGTACTACAGTAGATATATTATAACATGTCTTTACATGTTTACATAATATATTCTTAATTCAAGATACGAATTATACCAGCTATTAAGGAACAGTTGCAACAATTATTAAGCCAAAAGAAACAAGTAACAGATAATATAAAAACGTTTAGAACAAAACGTATTGAGAAGACACAACAAGAAGGGCTTGCAATGGTAGAGAAAATTTTGGAAGACAGAAAGAGTACAGAACAAAATTTCAACAAAAAAGAAAATTGATTGAAAATGAAATAAGGAAAAATATTTATACTTTCATAATTCGTTTATTTACAAGTTGCCTATAATGTATAAAAATAATTTCTGTATAAACATACATTGCACAAAATACTGTACACATTTAATATAACGGTGATTGCTTTGTATAAATTGTAAGTACAATTGGCAAATATACTGTTTAAAATAAATATAAATAAAACATATTTATTTATTTATATTTGTGTTAGCACTTATTTATGGTAATATAAAGCAAACTAACTGCTATTATAAATACAATAGTGTCCACATAAGTGACCGCATTTTTGCCCACTTATACGACCGCGGTCGGTTCCGAGCGTGGTCATTTACGTGGGCACTACCGTATATGTTATCAATACACAACCATAGCTTTGTATATATTTCATAACAATAATTATTAGCTTTCATTACGATAATATAAAAATGTCTAATGATTTAACAAACTTTCAATAAAAAATTATTTTTACCATGTTAGTTAGAAAATCTAAAAAAAGTCATATGTGGTTGGTACACCACATACTGTTACGTCACAAAACGACTACGCGCAATTGCCAATAAAATTCAACTTTCATAGAATAAGTAGATTTATGTGGATGAAGTGTTTGTTATTTTCTTTGAACAGCAATTGCAATTCCCATTCCACCACCGACACATAAGGCTGCTACACCTTTCTTTCCACCAGTTCTTTCCAAGGAGTACAGTAAAGTTACTACAACTCTAGCACCTGGATATAAAACATTTAAATATACCAACAAAATTATATCGATCTATTAATAATGTTTTATTTACCGGATGCGCCGATCGGATGACCTAACGCAATAGCTCCTCCGTTTATATTAACTTTAGCAGGATTTATGCCAAGACCTTTCACACATGCTATTGATTGTACTGCAAAAGCTTCATTCAATTCATATAAATCTACTTCTTCTTTGGTCCATCCTGCTTTTTTTAACTGAAATATTTATTTAAATTTATTTTATCGCGTAGCTTTAAAATGATAAAATATTTATATACTTTAATAAGATGCAATGTATACTAACCACTAATTCCACTGCTGAGATGGGACCTACACCCATAATTCTTGGTTCCACTCCAACTTGTGACATTGCAACAATTTCAGCTAATGGAGAAAGTCCTTTCTCAGAAGCAGTTTTTGCTGACATGAGAACTACTGCTGCTGCTCCATCATTTATACCAGATGCATTACCAGGAGTCACAGTACCATTGGTCTATGCATTAAATAATATTTCAAGTAATCATTGTATGATCGAATATTTGAAATTGAAAACAAATATACATTATTTATACTTTCAAAAAAGTTGGTTTTAATATTTGAAGGCTTCCAACAGTTGTTCCAAACTTGGGATACTCATCTTTGTCCACGATAGTAGGCTCTTTTTTAGTAAATACTGTTATAGGAATAATTTCTTTTTCAAAATAGCCAGCAGTAATTGCAGCTTCTACTTTTTGCTGAGATTTGGCTGCATATTCATCTTGTTCTTCCCTACTTATATTAAAGTCTTTAGAAATATTTTCAGCTACGAAAATTACAATATATTAATAAATATGTCTATAAACTTGCATTTAATTGTAATGAAAAAGTTCATGTACAGAGAAAGGTATAATTCTTTTATACCTGTTACCCCCATATGAATTCCATGAAATGCATCTGTTAAGCCATCAAATATTAGAGTATCTACTAGACTACAATCTCCTAACTTTACACCATTTCTGAGGTGTGACACATGTGGTGAAAGACTCATATTTTCCTGACCACCCGCTACAACAATTTGGTTTTCCCCAGCTTTTATGGAGAAATAACCACTCATAATTGCTCTAAAAAAATTAATTCATCTCGTAACGAACATAGAAAAAAGGAAAAACTATATTGCTCTGTATTGATATATGTATATATATAGAAAAATGTTTATTTATAGAAAGTATAATATTAATGATAAGATTAAAAATTAAATGTTGTTGTTCACATATGTTATCTTGTTTTATGAATAAGGAATTTCATATTTACTTTAAACCAGAACCACATAACATATTAATTAAATGTGCAGGAATGGCAATAGGAATGCCTGCTTTTATAGCTGCTTGTCTTGCTGGGTTTTGTCCTTGACCTGCAGTTAATACCTGCAATAAAATGTACTATAAATATTTCATAAAGTTTAGATTATTTTTGCTCTGTGATTAACATAACATAGATTATACATGCAAAATATGTGTACACTTTGCACATATATTCTTAGAGCACTTTGGTAATCAAATTTTGTAGATTTCTACTATATATTTATACAAAAATTGGTCATGTTTTATTTATGTTTCTTCAATGTTAAATTATTTAAACGTGTTGTTCTATGTGCTACTAAATTATGATTTTAAATTACCTGTCCTAATATAACTTCAGAAACATCTTTGGGTTCAAGATGAGCTCTTGCTAGACTCTCTTTAATAACGATACTACCTAAATCTGATGCTTTTAAAGACGATAAAGATCCACAAAACGATCCTACAAGGAATGAAACATATCGTGGTATAACTAACATAAACTGTAAATGTTTAATTGTTATTAAACTTATATCAATTTAAATTTAATTTAATGTAACATTTAAATAATAAATATTACAGCAGTGTAAGGTACCTTGAATACAAATAAGATTTTCTTATTTTAAATAAAAACGAATTGGGTAAGTTAAAGTATGATGAATATTAAGTGTGTAATGTTTAAGACTATGTGTAATTATATATCTAAATTAACAAACTGTTAATTTGTTAAACTGTAATCAGAATAGCAGTCAAAACGTATTAATTGAATTTCTTTTTAATGCGTGACAGTGTCGTTGTATTAAATAGACGATTGATTGTAAATTGAAAATGTTACTGTTTACGTGATATTATTTAAACTGGATTGCTAGTATACTACAGAAGGAATATTAGTGTTTTCGGTTGTTAAAACATTTCTGTTTGTAAAATATAAATTCCCACCTATGGGTGTTCTCACTGCAGACACAATCACAACGTCACTGCTGCTCATGTTGAAAATTCTTTACAAGTTATGCCGAGCCTGCGGAAAACTGAACTAAGACTGCCGCCACGAGCCCATATAACGGAAATAAGTAGCAGTCGAAGCGCCGATGACGCGTGGCAGTAACGGCTTAATGAAAGTGTGTCAAAAGAAATATAAATAAAGTGGCATTCTTTGACCGCCATGTACCGTATGTATTTCTATCATTTATTGTCAAATACATTATATTCATCTTATGAATACAGTAAAAGTTTGTCTTTACAACATCGTACATATAAAATAACCGTTTACAACGTATCGATGCGCAATATTAATGATACATAGTTCGTTTGAGCAATAAGATTGCATTTGCTCGAAGGAGTAACAATTTAAAATATCATCGAAATTATAATTCCGATGTTGCTTTCATTTGTTTGTACGAATAAGTTAATTTCTACGGTCCCCGTCGGAGCCTTTATTGTTTAGATTTCGAACGTTCCTGACAAACGTCACCGGTTGGTTGACTTCTAATTCGGCGTACAGGTGGCGCTGAACCACCAATCGTGGCACCGTAGTGGTGCTCGTTTGTTTTTACCCAGCGTGCATTGTGAACAGTGACTGGTGCTAAGATGGCCGACAACAAGGAGGAGATTTCGGAGCTCGTCGAAAAGCGAGGTATTTATTGCAGTTCTTCGATTTACTACTCATGATTGCTGTACGATATCGAGGCACGATGCACGGCGAGAGCGTCGGTGTAGGCGGACGGCCGGTGTGATCCGTAATTGGCATAAAAATTACGCCATCTGCACGCACGGTGTCTAGGAGGAACGATCGCGAAAATCGTCGTGATTATACCAACGAATCGGGGCCGTTTTCCGTGTCTTTCGTAACGTTCACGGTGCTCGTGGCTGGTTAATCTGACTCCCGCTGACAGGGACACGCCTGTCAACGCGACGTCAGTCGCGACCAGTGCCAAACATGCCACCTTTTGACAGGGCTACGTGCACACGCTCGGCTGCACGACACCCTTCGCGCAGCGTGCGTGTAGTACGTGCGAGCAGCAGACAGAACACATCGTGCTCCTCGTTCTCCTCGTGTGTTCGCCTAAGCGCTATGCTCGTTACTCATTAAGGTCATACGCCGACGGCCTTGCAATTCGCACCGTCGCTCAAGTAATCCCTCGCTCGAGATTACCGTTATCTCTTACCACGAATTTACTGCCGGCTGATTCGTCTAACACCTACGCTCTGGTTGGCGGTCGTCGTGTCTGTGCAAGCGAGCGCGCGCGCGCGCGAGTGTGTTGCCCACGGATTCCCGATCGGCGGCATTCGAACGTCGTCGACCACGGGTATCGTGGCAATGTTGCACGGGAGAGGTGCAACGTGTCCGTTGGTACTCGACAGGCGATAAATGCACGCGTTGTGTCGCGATAGATCATCGCCGGTGAGAGAAATATTGACGATGATCGATTGCCAGTCCAATGTTCTTCTGCCATTGCAACGGCCTCGTGGAATTTGTTCGTCGAAATTACGCGTATCGTCCCGTCGTTCGGATACTGCGAACGTGTTTCAGTTCCTTGTTTCGCCGTTTCTAACTGGGTCTCCGATAAGACAACAATAATTACGTGCACGCACGGCGTTGTTGGTTTTGTTTTGGTGTCGCTCGGAAATTAACGTGTTTGGTAACACGTGGTTCTCTCCGTGTCTATACAGGGTGTCCCACGCAACTGGAACAGGCTATACCTCCTATACTATACCTCTACATAAAAGTACTAACATACTTATGCCCTAAACTTATTCGTTAGGAAGTTATCGAAGATAAAAGTTCTCCGAATTCATTACAATGTTTCTATTGCTTTGCAATGTTTGTGCTGCGACCTGCACAAACCAGTTGTTAAAAATGAAGGTACTGTTTTCATTTAAAGAAAAGGTGCAGTTGCATTTTCCTGATGCACCAATGCACAAAAGTGTATAAAATTAGTTGCATATTACGCATCGTTTGATACCATTTAACGTTGACCTATAACATATTTTTCTACTCCCAACCGTTTAGGAGGTATAGCCTGTTCCAGTTGCGTGGGACACCCTGTATAGGTACAGTAGTATCCGCACGAGCCGCACGTTCTGTTCGTGATGTTGGTTACCGCGGCCCTCGTACTACACGTTTCCGTGCCAGTGCGTCTTTAATATATTGTCGTTCATCGACTACGTATAGATCAACGGACGAGTCATTTGCTCGATACACGCGATTATCTTTCAGCGGCCATCTACTGGCTGCCACTATGTACTCGATCGTTTCTGTGATCGTCGAACGGCAATTCCATTTTTCGCGAGAAACAACGACATTTCGCCGGTAAATTATGTAGGCTGAGGACGATTATCCGGCGTGATCAACGTCGCGGAGCGATCAATCGGGATTTCTGATCGTCCCTGCCACCGTAATGCGATTAACTCTGTTACATGCATCGCGGGTATTATGCGACGCGTCCTGTACATCGCGTTGCGCGTCGAACCAGTTCCCCATACGTCTTTATTAGAATTTTCTCGTGGATGCCACCGGTGATTTTAATGCGATCGGTAAGAGCCGAGCGGCGCAATCCGGGCCATCGGGCAATTCATTTCGGCGCAAATCATAAGTCGAGGCGCGCCCTGACATCGCGTGACTGTCACTTCGTTGCTTCTCAACCTTTTTTTTCCGTTTATATATGCTTAATCCATTTGAGAACGACCAAGGAGTTCCCTGTTCCGGCGATATTCTAGAAGCATCGCGATGATAGCGATCTTATGCAGGCTGCTGGATCAATATTCCTCGGTTAGTATTTTATTCGTGCGCCGTGCGAATAAGCTCGCGTACTCCTCCGCGTGCAACGTGCGACACACGTGTGACACACGCCACTTTATTTAGAAGTTGCAACTTATTCCACTACTTTTTGCTCTACCACGTGGAATCACCCAACTTTTTATTTTGTTTACCTCGCACGATACACTCGCCTTGCATACTTTATAATAGATCCAATGCAATGTTATGCGTTCCAACGATGTCTTCGATCATTTTGTAATTATTAGAATTGTTGGATTATGGGATGTATGGTTTAAATTATACAAGAATATTTAATAATAGAATTTCACTTTTATTATATTCGTGTAGGTACATCTCAGAGATCTGTTTCTGAACTGTGCAGTTCATCCGCAGAAGAAAACCAAAAGTGAAGCGCAGTTCGCCCTAGCAACGAACTCTCATCTTTGTATAATAAATACCATGAGTTCGTAAAACCCATGGTCAAAACTAAATTCTTTCCTGTCTCCATACTCGCCAGCTGGCATTAGACACGCACGGACGAATTTTAACGGGAGGAAGTCGGCCATTTTTACTTGTTCGCGACTGCACGTGTCTTCAATTTTATCCGAATTCGTACGTCAGTTGTCGTGGAACTGTAAAAGCTTCTCTGAAACGTTCGCGGTTATTCTGCGCGCAAAGAGTCGTCGTCCACTTTACACTGTGTATTCGTGTAAGAGAGTCTGCATAATGCGTGGATAGCCTGCACCAACGTAGTCCGAAAATAAGGTCGGCGAGTTTATGATTCGACGTTGCTCTCAATTTTGCTAATAGCCTCGTCATTAATTGGGTCGTAAATTTGTTATTTCTAGCACGACGAAAGGTACCCGAACGTTTTCATGTTTAACCCTTTGCTCCAGGTCGATGCTTTTCTTTCTATGGAACAAATACGAAGTTATTGAACCATTGCATAAATTAATGTGTCTTTGGACCCGTTAGTGTCGCGCGTACGACTGTAATACAATGTAAACGTGACGTTTCTTTGCTACGCGGCATCAATAAACGAAGCCGCGATAGATATTCCTCGTCGATCTGCTCTATTTGTTGTTCCATCTATGCGCTGCGTACGCGCTCGTAATAACAAGAGCAACGCATCGGGCCGCCTTATATATTTTGCTTTAATATTTAAAGGCGAAACGCGGGTAAGACGCTGTACCGTTGGCTACGTGGATAGTGTATTAAAAATCACGCGTTTTCTCTTGCTCGGATAAACACGGTTCACCAGCCTCGAACGTAGCTGCAACAGATGACGAAGATACTTTAAGTAGGTTGCATTTATTTATTCGTGGTGGCGTAGAACCGCGTCCGTTAACGGTACATTATTGTTTTGGCGCGGTCAGAAGCTGTGCTCTCGTCTAGACGATGGCTGCCTACTTAGATCAATTTTCTATTAATTTTTCTCGTTCCTTTGTGCTCGTGTCTTTTTTTTTTTCAATCTGTACGTCGTCGCATCCTTGATCCTTCGGGTGTTTAGAAGCGGTCGATCGATCAGTTCTAGACCTATTCGCGTTCGACGATATGCACAATGGATACCGTTATGAGGTTTCCGCATAAGGGAATTCGGGGTAATATAAGCACTCCGAGGAATATAGGCATCGACGAATGTAAAGTTAGCCTTGAAGAAAAAGCACAATTATTGTACTTTATTAGAGATAATTCTACCTCTCGACCTTAGCTCTAGCCGATTTACTTTAAATTTAGCATAGACACGTTAAATGCAAGCGTGTACGTTGTAACGCTTTGATTCGAATACTTTTAATGTGAATATTTTTTAATATTTTCAAAACAACGTCCGCCATGCTGTAGCAACGTTAATCTAGATTCTCCGCAACCTTGCACACCGCCCATGCGTGTTCATTGAAACAAGGTCTCGCTTCTGACGTTGTGCAATCCGTCACACATTATGAATATTACATTTTTAAGTATTGACAAATATTCCTAAAAAATAAATTTTTTTTTTAACGGGAGAAATGTTTCAAGGCCTCCCGTTTAATAATTTGTTTTTAGATAGGCTATTAATAAGATAAAAGTATTCTTGTTCTGGCTATAGACACTGTAGCGGAAGGTTTCCTCCAACAATGAACTCTCTCGGACTATAGTGTTCGAATTATTCCTCCCACTATTCCAAGGAACATAGTTTCGACAAAAATCAAATGGCGTTGCACGAGAGTGATTACTCTTTATAATTCAGAAACGTTTGGCGGCAAAGTACAAAGGACGAGACGACGGTCGTGTTGATTTTGATATATTTG